TTTCTCAAAATCACATAAAGCCATATTATAATATCGACTGAGATAAAGAATAAAATGAAATATTAAAATCACGATGTATCTCGTTGCATTGCGCGAGTACACTTCTAGTAATGAAATAATTAAGTCATTTATTTTTAGTTTAATAACATAATTTTTTATAAAGATAATATTTAATATTTTGAATTCATTGATTATCTTAAATATATTTTAGATTTTTCATATTTAAAATGAGATAGTTATCCAGAATTTGATTATATTTATCTGTAATTAGTTACACAAATTCAAACATAGAGCTTTAATAAGTTGTACATACAGACAATTTACTTGTAATTTTGAACTTTAAGTAATATGAATCAATAAACAGTACATAATACTTTAAAAGTTGTTTTTAAGAAATTGGACCAAATGTTTTATAATATAGTATATATATATATATATATATATATATATGTGGGCACGTTCAAATGAAAACCGTGCATCTCTAAAAAACCGTGTAATCCAATTTCGACCAATAGAAAAATTCTTTTTTTAATTAAATTTAATCAATAAGGGTATTTCGGTCATTTACAATATTTTCTATTAAATATGAAAGTTATTAATAAATCTTTATTAAGAAAACGTAATAAAGAAAATTGTATAAATGGTAACATTTAAATATTTAATTATATTAAAATATTAAAATTTTGGATTTCATATATTGTCATGAGTTATAATCAGAAAAACGTGTCTTGATGAAACAATCGAATTATAGAATGAAATCATCAAAACGTAGATGAACAAAAAAAATCCACAAAATGAAACATGTTTCATGAACGTGAAACTGGTTCATGTTGCAAATATATTAGGTGAACCGAAACATTTTTATGGTGAACCTGTTGCATTGATGGTATAGTTAATCCTTTTTTTATGAGAAGCAAAATGAAACCGGTGCATTTTGAAAAAAATTATGAAAAGGAAAATGAAACAGGTTTCATGAACGTGAAACCGGTTCATGTTGCAAATAAATTAGGTGAACCAAAACATTTTTATGGTGAAACCGTTGCATTGATGGTGTAGTTGATCCATTTTGTTGATGAAAAGGAAAATGAAACCGGTGCATTTTGAAAATAAATTATGAAAAGGAAAATGAAACAAGTTTCAYGAACGTGAAACCGGGTCTTGTTGCAAATAAATTATGTGAACCGAAACATTTTCATGGTAAAACCAATTCCGTTCATATAATGTAATTCAAAATTTAAAACGATTCACTCCATATAATTGAATATGGTGTGTTATATTCGTTTTTTTTATATGTTTTATTGATGGGTGTGATTTAAAGTTAAAAATAATATATTGCTTTAAAAAATGAAAATGGTGTCATTAATATCGAGAATGATGTTACCAAATGTTAAATTTTGTTTACCATTTTTGTCCTTATTGTTGAAATAAAATAAATTTTTAATATATATATTTTTTTAATTTCCTAAAATAAAGTAAACTAATCTTGGCCATTGATCAAGAAGATAGATGGATGTGATTGGTTTACACGGTTTACACAAATGGGGCAGATTTTTATTTGAACGCTCCTATATATATATATATATATATATATATATATATATATATAAGAAGAATACTCGCACAATGCAGCGACATATATCTTCATTTTGATTGTTTCTTTTTATTTTTTGTCTCTGTTGTATAATACGATTTATGTGGTTTTGAGAAAGATAATGGTTTTACGATTTAGTGAAGTAATTTATTTTTGACTTAACAATAAAATTTTATAAAGATAATGATTCTGTTAGAACTCAATGATTATCCTAATTATATTTTAGATTTTTTCTATTCAAAATGAGATGTTTATCATGTATTTGATTATGTTTATCTACAGTTAGTTATAATAATTCAAAAATGGAGATTTAATAAGTTGTACTTACGCACAATTTACTTGTATCTCAAATTTTAAGTAATATGCATTAATACACAATATTTTATGCATAAAGAATTGTTTTTAAGAGTTTTTGTCAAATGATTTATAATATAATGTAGATATATCTTTTAGAAACAAGATGTCCATGAAAGCTATAACCCTGTTCATGTTCATGTTCATGTTCATGATTCATGTTTTTGGAAGTATATAACAATTATATTTGGCTTTGGCATTTAACCATAAGAATATTGTCTGATTGATTTGAACTTGACTCCAAAGGTTAAAAGTATCAGGAAGTCTCATGTTTAAATTCAAGGAGAAATAAAAATTCTCTTGTGATCACGAAGGTTCAAATACACTGACTTCAAACTATCTACAAAACAGATAGATTATCTAGAATTAATCGACTTGCATAAGAGATTAGATATTCTAGTTGATAAAAAAAAATATTGATGTGAAAGCAAAAGATTCCTAGTGACAAGACTGACAATTCTCCTTTTACTGTCCTTGTCGTTATCTCTAAAGGATAGGTTCAAAATATTTGGATCCGCTTTGGGATTCACAGGTTGTTCAAGTATGTGATGCCATTTTCAAATGAAATTATCTAGAAACAGAAATTGATTACAATTGTAATATATATTATTATACTATTTTTATTTAAACTCAATAATTATAATATGTACTTATTTTCTGTAAATAATAATTACTTGATTCTTAAAACAATTTATTTTTAATATTTTTTTAAGCAATGGTTGGAGTTGAATGTCTATATTATATTATAAAATATTTGATAAAAACTCTTAAAGTACTGTGTATTGATATATATTATTTAAATTTCAAGATTACAAGTAAATTATACACAAGTACAACTTATTAAAGCTTTATGTTTGAATTCGTGTAACTAACTGTGGATAAACATAATCAAATAGATGATATAATCTCATTTTAAAATATAGATCTAAAATATAATTAGAATAATTATCGAGTTCTAATAAAATAATTAATTATTATTTTTATAAGAAAATTATATTATCAAACAAAATATAAATTATTTCGTTATTGAACCTAAAATTAAATTATAATTAAAAAATTACATAAAAAATAAGAATTTTAAATAGTTAATTTAATGTTGTTATCGATATATTTTTGTCAAAATTTTATGATATTTTTAAGTTTATATTTTATTTAAAAATAAAAATATTATCATTTTTTTTAAAATCACATAAGACTATATTATAACATCGAGTGAAATAAAAAATAAAATGAAATATTAAAATAAGTATATCAAATTTAGGGGGTGTTTGGGATTACTTATTTTATCTGCTTATTGACTTATTTCAGTCTGGTACTGGTAATAAGTTAATACCTAGTGTTTGGATAAGAAAAAAGAAAACTGCTTATACCGGTGCCAAACCGGTAATAAACAGTTTTTGATACGTTAATCCGTCTTGACTTATAAAAAACTGCTTATTACCGGTTTACCATTTTAACCACATTACCCTTTATACCTATCTCTTTTCATCTAAATAACATCGATCTCAATCTTCTCTAGATAAAAACATCAATCTTCTTTCTGTCTTTTTTGGTCATTTTACAGATATAAACATAATTTAACAAACATTAAAAAAAAAACAACATATCAGTTTTAAGTTAATCCAAACATTTTTTTCAAAGGTCGAAGAGGTCTAACAATTAACAAAAGCCGTTGGTCTTCAACATCAATGTTGACGTATGTGTGTAAACGCAAGATATGCCAAGAGAATGAGGATCACAATTCTCCTCCTCCACTCTGCTCACTCTTTATAAATACTCCTTTTTATACTTGATTCTATTATTATCACACACTGGATATGGATATGGATATGCCTCACGGAACCATCGTCTTCTCCACCGTCGGCCGACCCAACTACGGCTTCGATGTCTTCTCCACTCCATTACCGCTTAATCTCCACCATTTTTCAACCTCTCCTCCCTCCGAACACCGCCTCACTGACGGTGTTTCCGTTAATTTCAACGCTCAGTTCGTTGGACCCGACGATGACCTCCATCGCTTAGTATATGTTTCCGAGAGAAATGGATTGCCCCAAATTTATCTAGGTTCAGATCTTTTACCCTCTGCACCTGCAAGTCTTTTCCATGACCGTCCCATCGTTAAAGACGGACGTCTTTACTTCATATCAGCTCACCAGCCCACCGATGCACCTTTTCAAAGCTGGTCTGCCCTTTACACCCTCCAATTGGACGACGCCACTACCCTCTCTCGCTTGACACCTTACGGTTGTGTTGACTACAGTCCCTCTCTTTCTCAATCCGGGGACCTCGTCGCCGTCGCTTCTTATGGTTCTCGCCCTTGGCCCGGTGAATTTCACGATCTCAAAACGGATATCGTTGTTTTCCGTCTATCAGACTCCTCAAACCGATTCCTCTTATGTTCACATGGTGGTTGGCCTACCTGGTCAGGCGACTCTACAATTTACTTCCACCGGCAAGCCGACGATGGTTGGTGGAGCATTTTCAGGCTTGATTTACCCTCCAATTTCGATCTATCCGCCACTCCTCCTGCTCCTCGACGTGTCACTCCTCCTGGTCTTCATTGCTTTACGCCAGCTGCTATGCATGACCGCCAACAAATCGCAGTTGCTACTCGCCGAAAGGGCGAGACTCACCGCCATATTGAAATATTCGATGTTGAATTAAATAAGTTTTACCCGATCACTAAGTTCCTGAATCCCAATATCCATCACTACAATCCATTTGTTTCTCCAAACTCAGGTTTCCTCGGTTATCACCGGTTTAGAGGTGAATCGAGTGATGGTGAGTCCATGATTCCCAATTTGGACCAGGTTTCATCTCCAATTAAGGGTCTTCGAATGCTAAGGTTGAATGGAGCATTCCCTTCATTCTCTCCGTCAGGGGATCTGATCGCCTTCAATCCTGACTTTGACTCGAATGCCGGAATAGACATCGTGAAATCAGATGGGTCACAGAGGTGGACTATCTTGAAGGGACGAACATCATTTTACAATGCGTGGAGCCCCACGGAGAAGAACGTGATCTTCACGTCAATCGGGCCCATATTTAGTACTGTGAAAGCGACGGTGCAAATCGCACGGATCTCTTTCGATTTACAAGGAGAAGCTGAAGTCAAGATCCTGACTAAGGAGGAGACGGGGAACAACGCTTTTCCTTCATGTTCACCGGACGGCAAAAGTTTGGTGTTCAGATCAGGACGGTCGGGACACAAAAACCTCTACATATTGGACGCCGTGGAAGGGGAATTTAAGGGAGACAACGGCATTCGACAAGTAACGGATGGCCCATGGATTGACACCATGCCTAGCTGGTCCCCTGACGGCAACCTCATTGCTTTTTCTTCCAACCGACATAATCCGGATAATCCTGAGGCTTTTAGCATATACGTTATGGGTCCGGACGGGAGTAATGTACGCAGGATCTTCGTGGTGGGAGGTGAAGGATCTGAGGAGGTGGATAGGGAGAGGATAAACCATGTGTGCTTCAGCGCCGACGGGGCGTGGTTGTTATTCACGGCGAATATAGGGGGAGTGACGGCGGAGCCGGTGTCATTGCCTAATCAGTTTCAGCCTTATGGAGACCTGTACGTATGCCGTTTGGATGGCAGCGGGTTGCAGAGATTGACTTGGAACGGGTACGAAAACGGAACTCCGGCGTGGCATCCGAGTGGGTCGGGGATGAATAACATTAACAAGGGAAATGGAAATAAATTATTGGGTGAATTTGATGAACCACTGTGGATTGTGTGTGATTTCTAGCTATATCTGGTAGTAGAAAAATAAACGAATCAATGGTATCGTGGTATGTTTGTGTTAATTAATGAATAAAAGATCTCTATTTCAATGTCTTTGTTACATATCTATTATATATTATAAAGCATTTGATAAAAAGTCTTAAAAAACTATTTTTTATGTATAAAATACTCTTTATTGATGCATATTACTTAAAATTCAAGATTATAAGTAAATTGTACCGCTCCATGTTTAAATTCGTGTAACTAACTACAGATAAACATAATCAAATACAAGATAAACATTTCATTTTCAAATATAAAATATCTAAAATAAAATTAGGATAATAATTGAGTTCTAACATAATATTTAATTATTAATTTTATAAAAAATTATATTATTAGATTTAAATTAAATTACTTCGTTTGAATTAAAGAAATTACACAAAACAAAAACTTTTAAATAGTTAATTTGATGTTAATATCGTATACTTTTTGTAAATTTTTATGATATTTAGAATTTATATTTTATTAAAAAAGAAAAACATTATCGTTTTTTTCAAAACCACGTAACACCGTATGATATCGATATAGATAATGAATAAAACAAAACATTTAATTGAGATGTGTTTTGATGCATTGGTCGAGTACCCTTCTAGTGTATATATATAACCTCAAAATCAACATATTATTTCACAATTAATACCATTTTCTTAATTGTTTTTTACAATTATTTAATTATCGACTCTTTTCTTTCTCTCTTTCTTTCTTTGTGCTTGTATATATTGATGAAACAGTAGTAAAGTAAATTGTGCTTAAATATATTGATGCAAATTATATATATATATATATATATATATATAATATTATAAAGCATTTGATAAAAATCATTTTTTATGCACGAAGTATTGTTTATTGATGCATATTATTTAAAATTTAAGATTACAAATAAATTATGCATAAGTACAACTTATTAAGCTCTGTATTTGAATTCGCATAACTAACTACAGATAAACATAATCAAATATTAGATAAATATCTCATTTTAAATATAAAAAATTTAAAATATAATTAGGATAATAATTGAGTTCTAACAAAATATTTAATTATTGTCTTTATAAAAAATATATTATTAAAACAAAAATAAAATACTTCGTTATCAAATCTAAATTAAACTATAATTAAAAAATTGAATTAAAAGAATTACATAAAAAACAAGAACTTTTAAATAGTTAATTTAATACTAATATTGATATATTTATTTTCGAAATTTTATGATATCTTCCAATTTATATTTTTATTTAAAAATAAAAAAATTATCTTTTTCTCAAAACCACATAAACACCATATTAAAACAGCTACAGAGACCGAATAAAACGAAACATTAAAAATCGAGATATATCTCATTGCATTGCGCGAGTACCCTTATAGTATATATATATATATATATATATACACACATATGGGGGCTCATTCAAGGGAAGAATGACTAGTTTGTGGTAACCGTGAGATCCAATCTCAACCACAAATCAATAGGTAAATTAGAAAATTTATAATTTGGTAATTTTTAATTAAAATTTTAATGCAAGTACATTTTAGATATTTTCTCTTCTCTCTTCTCTCTCCGTCCCCGTCTTCTAGCCACCCACCTCCGGTGATACCACAGTGTGATACTCAAAGCACATATAATATGCATTGTGATATCACTGTGTTACATATCTGATCGACTGCACAAACGACCACAGTGTGATACCCAATCACATATAAGATGCATTGTGATACCACTGTGGTATCACTGGAGAACGGTGGCCGGAGGCCGGGAGACGGAGAGAGAAGAGAGGATAAATGAGAGAAAATACCTAAAATGTTCTTGCATTAAAATTTTGATTAAAAATTACCAAATTTATAAATTTCTTAATTTATCTATTGATTTGTGGTTGAGATTGGAACTCATGATTATCACAAACTAATTAATTTTATTTGATTAGGCCCATATATATATATATATATATGCGCAATCAAATGAAAACTGTAGAAATCGTGTAAACTAATCTCGACCAATAGGAAAATTATTTTTTTTCTTAATTAAATTTAATCATTAAGGGTAGATTTGTCATTTACATTGTTTTCTATTAAATATGAGAGTTATTAATAAATCTTAATTAAGATAATATAATAATAAAAAATTATAAATGGTAATATTTAAATTAGAATTTTAAAAATTGAATATTGTTATTTGGTTTCTCGGTTTATTAGTGGTAATAATATGAAAATCGAAAATTATTATATTCATTAATCCACGAAGTCAGTAACAGATCCAAACAAAGATTAATGAACCGGTAAAAATATAATGAGTTGTGAAATAGATTCATGTTATATTTGTTCATGAAAACGTTCATTGAGGAGCTTGTTTTATGAAACTTTTGGGGATGAATTTGTTGCGTAATATAATATTCTTGCATAATCTTGTTTTCTTATCAACAATATTTGATGAAATTGTTTCATTTTTTTTTTTGATTTTGTTCACTTAATGGTTAACAAAGCATGTAATGGTAAATGCATTGACTCTATGAACCGTGTTCGTATTTGAAAAAATTGGTCGATGAAATAGGTGCATGAAGAAAGTGAAACCATTTCATAATTGGTAAGAAAATGTTGTGTAATTAGCTAACAGTGAAACCATTTCATTATTACAATGAAACAGATCCATCTACCGGAAACTTGAAAATAACAAATGTCTCATCTAGCATTACGTTGATTTGTGTATTGATGAATCTGTGAAACCATTTCGTTCATTAAATGTAATAGTATTTTTTTTTTCATTACAATGTGTTTTGTTTTTACTGTTGATCTATTTTAATGATGAATGTTATTTTTTTATAATATTTGAACATAAGATTAATATATTATTTTACAAATGATTTTGTTTCATTAATACTACGATATACATGATATGGTTGCTATTAATATTACCACTACCAAAGTTACCATTTTGCCCTTTTTGAGACTATAAATATTTTTTTTAATTTCTTAATATAACCTAAACTAATCTTGACCATTGATCAAGAAAATTGATGGATGAGATTGGTACAAATGAGGGCGGTTTTCATTTGATCGCTCATCTATATATGTATATATATACACACACACACACACACACATATATATATATATATAGAGGTATGTTATTATACAACCTCTACCATTTGTACAACCAATACAACCCAATCTTAACTGTCCATTTAATTTGATGAATATGTAATTTCATAGAAGTTTTGATTGTTTCCTAATATAAAATATTGATCATAATTAA